CCCCCCCCCCCATTGCTGTACATATATTGGGATTCATGTGGTTAATTGATCCTGGGGTGGATTTCTCAATGGTGGGGACTTGTTTCACACAGTTAGCTACTTTTCCTATTTAAGCATTGCAAGATAAATTTGTGCCATGTATCAGATGTCACAGAACACCCATGCAAATATAACTCTATTGGTGTGTCAAGAAAAGATGGTGTCACTATGTAGCTTATGCTTCTGTATCTTTTTTTTCCTGGAGAGGGGTTGTGGAAAAAGGTGGTCAGCAGTTAAAGAACAATGAAGACGGGCTGGTAATTCAGAATTTTATTTAATCAGAAGTTTAAGCTAATATTCAATCCCTGGAGTTTTGGATTAATGAAACTGATCAAAAGGTAGTAAATTTTTAAAATTTTTAAATCCAGTCCTGTATCTTGAGTTCCTGTTATTATTATATCCATACCTGGTGTCTTTTATGTAACTTAGAAGTGTCCTGCAGATATCTCACACGGGGAACCCACATCTCAGAGTTGAGTTTCCTGTCTGGAAAGTAGTCCCTGACCTTAATCTGACTTGCAGAAACTGTACCAGAAAAGGCTCTCCTAACATGTTCCTCATGGAACTAAGGAGAGCTCAGTACTGGGGGCACACTTGAGCCACCAGAATGTAAGCATACACATGATAACTGCTTGTCTGTAGTTTGCAGTGATTTCTGTGCAAATGCCTTATTTGAATAATTCATGTTTTTAGCATGCAGAGATCCTGCAGTCCAGTCCACATCTCACATTTGAGCAAAACTGGGGTGATGGCTGAGTATGAGGATTTGTGAATGTATATACGTATTTAAAATATCTAAACAAAAACCTCACTTTTCTGTTTTTGAGCTCACTGGGATGACTGAGGTACAAGGGGCCTTTGGTGCCACAGGAATGTGCTCTTCCCAACTCCACACATGAAGACAAAAAATAGAACTTAAAATTTTATTTGAAATTCTGCTTTCCTCACTGGCAAAGATCGGAGGGTTTCCATAGTTCTAGTCTAGGAACTTCCATCTCCCCATTAGCTTTTCTGGCTGATGCCTGAGTGAAGTACGTGTAAATAGAAGGGCTTTGGCAACATCAATAGATGAGAGAGATCTTGAGAGGGTTTTCAGGGCAGTGGCCATTAATTTAGACTAAGGGATGCCAAAATCATAAGAAGCTATAAACTTTGGCTTATAGTACATAGGACTCCCTGGTGCATGTACAATTGAGTTCATATTTGGTGTGTAATTGTTGTTCCTTTTAGGGTTAAGATGTGGACACAGGTGAGAAATGGCAGATGTGAGTCTGCTTCTCCCACTCCTCAAATCAGCCAGGACTTTAGTGTTTCATATAGTAGGCTATTTCTATGGCATGGTGAGGATGTTGAGCTGCCCTCCTCTGTTCACCATGGTTGGAAGTTTTTGCCTTGGTGTTAAGCATGCTTCCCTGATTAGTGCTGCCTTTCTCTAGCCTGCATAGGCTTCTGCCACGTGTTCTGCCATGCTCAGTAAGTTGAAATTAGTTGTGTCAGGAGGGGAAAGCTAAGTATAGGAAAAGGGATGCTCTCATACTTTGCGTGTGACAGAGTGGTGGTGTCAAGACAATCTGGAATTTAGATTTTCATAAATGTATGCAGTTAGAGGCTTTTCCTCTCATTGAACCAATTTTTTAAAAAATGCACACAGTGAAGAAGTAGGAAAGAAGATGGAATGGCAAGTTTGACTGGAAGCTTGGGTGTGCTTCTTGTTACTTCCTAGTTTAAGACACAGTTTACTGCCTTAGAGGTATCTGAGGTTCCAGATGATGGGCTGGTGGAATGTTCTTAGACCTTGAGTGTGCTGGAGGCCCTAAAGTAGGAGATGAACTTATAGCAGAAGCTCACAATGAAGAACCAGACGTTCCGAGCCATCTGAGACCTTGCAATGAGGAGGCGCCAGATGATAAGAAACAGGGCAGTGTTGAAGAGGTAGTGAATGTTCCGGAGCCTAAGGATCAGAAACAAAAGCACATTTAAGACGGCACCTGCCCCCAGCTGTGTTACCTGAAATGTCAACGTGACCAGCAAATACCTAGTTCTTAGAGACCATGGCATGACTTGGTTGTTCCTTGTTTTTTATGTCTTTCATTTCCTATTCTCGAATAAACCATGTTTCCCTAGCTTGTTACTCTTCCTCCTACTTTTCTGTTTGGAGGTCTTTTTACAAGCACGATCATGGAAGAATGTAGTATTTTCAAAATATACTCTGATCTTACAATATTGAAAATCCTCTGTGGCCAGTGAGATGGCTGAGTAAATAAATGATGTTTGGAGCAAGTCTGGAACTTGAGTTGCAACTCATGTAAGGGTCAAAGGAGGGAGTTTGACTCCACAAAGCTGTCCCCTGACCTCCACATGCACTGTGGTGTGCACATCTACACACCATGGACAAACACAGTTTTTAAAAGCCCTCACTCTTGTTGGCTGGAGGGTAGATAGTGAACTTTGCAGCCTGCTTTTCAAATATCCTCACTTGGCTGGCTGTTTTTCTACCATTATCACCTTGACTACAAACCTTAGTTTTTGCAGGAATCATGACCTAAATCCATTAACTTGTTTGTCACTAAAAGAAGTAGGAAGGAGTTTTAAGAATTGAATAATAGTTACATGGTTTTCCAAGTTATGTGGCATGATCTGTCTTTTAGGTGTTCCTTAGGTCACACTGTGATATGGTGCACAAGAAGAAGCAAACTTGGACTGAAGCCTGGCTCCAATACTTGTTTCCAAGAACAACATTCTTAGGTTCTTTGTGCCCTAAGTTACTTCTGTTAATGGGTTAACAACAACAACAACAAAATACTGCTTCAGGAGTGCAGTGAGGTCTAAATTCAATGTTGTATATTATAGGATAGTATGGAATGCAGGGTTTCTAATGCCCAAGAAGTGTGAGTCCAGCTTCAATAGGAACTGCATAAATGTGTGGTTTAATTAACATGCACAACCCGGTGTAAAGTCAGTCAACCGTAACCCCTCACACACACCAAGGAATGTCCCTACCTTTTTAGATGTTGCTTTGCTTTGGGGATACCAGCCAGATCCTCTTTTAGTAGATACTTCTTAACCCCCAAAACGTAATTTTCAATGTATTCGAGCCAGTTCAACTGGCGCACGTCAAAGTTGAATACCTGCGTAGTGAAAGATGTTAACATGCTTTGTGCTGTTGAGCAGTAGTCACCTTGTTCAGTGTGGGTGCCCGGAGCTCATCAGTATGGCTAACTTTGCTGGCCAATGATCCTCCAGGATCCACCTGTTTCAACCTCCCCATTACTGGGTTGCCAAACATGCCACTACCCAGCAGCAGTGAAGGTTTGTCACAATCCACAAACTTAGTTCTAGCTGCACTAAACTTGTTTCCTGTGAATGCTGCCATTGTCTGGTTTCCTTAGGGAAAAACATCTGCCTGTACCCTCAGCACTTCCCCCATCAGCATTACTGGCCACACAATTGTGAGTTCCCAGAGTGTCTGTCCCTGAGGCACTGGCTTGGTGGAGCCAGGGCTGCACTTACTCTCTGATCTTCAGGACTCAGCTCTGACAGAAGCATCTCCGTGTTGTTCGTGCTCCATTCCCAACTGTGGTTGATGAAATACTCGAGCATGGAAATGGTTCTCAGTAGGCGGTTCATGAGCTTCAGCATCCTGAGGGAGAGACCACATAGCTGGTGCAGTGCGTCCAGCCCACTGCCTCTTCCTCCACCACAAAGGTGGCCCAGGGTTGTTAAGGAAGTGCAAGCCCTAGTGGGCTCATGCCAGTAACACCAGCACCGGAGAGGCTGAGGCAGGAAGATGCATGAGATCAAGATCAGCCTGGACTACCTACTGAGACCTAGTCCAGTAACAGTCTTTCCTCCAGTTCCCCAGATTGTTTTTTTCAGTTTGTGGGTCATATCCCTCCTTTGGCTAGTTAACAACAATAGCAGTTTCCACCATCAAGCTTCTCTTTAATCTTTTTTAAAGTACCTTGTCCCTTCCTTCGTGTGAGTGAGTACTAGCAATAAATCTAACAAATAGCTCATTCTCTCTAAAGTCTACCTGTACTAAAAGGGTTTATGCATGTCTGTGAGTTAGAGTTACCATTTGTCCTCAGTTTCCATCTAACTCTGTTAATAAAGAGGCTAAATCTTACAGTGTCTGTCAGAGCCTTTACAACCTCCTCTCCCAGACACCCATCCCCTTCTCATCAGACATTGCAAAACTGAGTAAGTTAGTTGCCTAAAAGGATTGCTGTTTTGTTTTGTCTTAACAATCGAGGCAGATCTTTAGAAAGCTAATTTCTTTTTAATTACATGTTCTTAAATTTGTAAAACAAAAACAGCATCCCAGATTTTAGTATGTAAACTTTTGGCAGAGTATTAAAGCAAAAACTAGTTGTAATTCATACTTATGAAGACAGACTTATGTTCATAATCTGCTCTGTTAGACACAGTGTTGGCATTTGTAGGAAACACTGTTTTAGCTGATTTTCATAACAGCCTTGTAGGTAGCTCTTTGCCCACATTTTCCAGAATATGGTTCATAAGCTTAAGAGGGTCAGCATTCAAACTCCCACGTAGTTCTGACCAACTCAGGAGAACCTCTACTGTTGCAAAGCCACTGCCCTGTGTCCACTTCTTCTGGTGGTCTTTGTTTTCTAGCTCCATGTTCAGAACATGAAACAGCTTTCCTCTAGAAACCTCCTAGGACTGACGGATTTATTCACGTTAACTTTACAGAAAGGCTATTTTCAAGGTCACATAGAAAATGCTCCAGATAGGTAGGTCTCTGAGCTTAAAAGTGGTTAGACTCAGCTTGGTACTAGAGTATAGTCAATTCTCTTAGGACTCTGATGCTCTGGGAATTTGGTCTTACTCTTAGTTCAAGTTCCCACCAACAATGGAGAGACTCTTTACTGTATCATGGGAAACTTGTTTTTTCAGGAAGTAGATTTAAATGTTCTATGATTGGTAGTTGTATATCAATGTCCAAGGATTATTTGAACTAAGGTAAGTTTTAGAACAACAACAACAACAACAGTTACTCTTAGGTAGAGGCCTTTTTAGTACGTAAAAGACAAATACAAAACCTGATTGTTTTATTATGTGCACCTTCGTATCAAATAGATCATGGTTAGAACCCCCTTTTTATAGAAGAGAAAGTTAAGATTTAGAAAGTAAATGTATAGTCCATGGCTAAATTAGTGAAGCTCCAGACTTGACAATGTCGGATCCTACAGTGTCTGACTGGTCCTGTAAAAAGCTGTGAAGATTACTGGGGGCCCGTGATGGATGACCTAATGGATAAAGATGCTACTGCCAAGCCCAACAATCTGGGTTCAATTCCCAGAACAACCATACCTCCCTTCAAGGTTCCCTCTGACTGCTGCTCTTGTGCAGTGGTAGTATACACACCATAAATAAATATCACAAAACAAAACAACACAACTCATTGTCCAATCCAGTGTTGTTTAGTTTCTCCCAAACAAAAAGCATATTGACATTTTTGTCTTGTGTTTTTCTCTTATTTATCAACCTTGCTTTATCCAAGTGTTCCTAACCCTTCAACCTGACCCATTTTGATAGAATTTCTGCCTGTGTTTTCCTTCTTGTCCCATCTATATTAGGTAAAACTCAGATGTTCTCCACACAGTCATAATGCTTCCTTATGTGGGTAAAAGAAGCTAGGTAAGTCACATGGCCTCTGTGTTGCAATTGTTTTTTTGTGTTAGTCCAGAGAATGCTGCATGTGCCAGAAAGGCCTTCCACCTAGTCCCGTGCTTGTTCAGGTTGTGATCACAGGAGTTTCTTCCTGTTGAGTGTGTTTTGGAGGTAGCCAGAGATGTACTTTTATCACTGTTGGGTGGTAACAGAGCTGGCTTAGTTTTGGTACCTCATCTCTTTGAGGTTTTTTTTTTTTGTTTGTTTGTTTGTTTTTCATCTCTCTAGGTTGTCAATAAACCTAGTCTGTAGTAGTGACTGTGAGGTGGTTCTCTGCACCTCCTTGCTGTTAATACGTGGGTTCTGCCCTTCGCTTCTCTTTTGATGGTGAAGTTTAGTCATGAGGTGTGAAGATGAAAACGGAATCACCATGAGACCTTGCAACAGGATGGCCACACAGCAAGCATTCAGTGAGTAAAGTGTGTGTGTGTGAGAGAGAGAGTGAGAGACAGAGAGACAGAGAGAGACAGAGACTGTGTGTGTGTGTGTGTGTGTGTGTGTGTGTG